TTATTAAAAATTATAGCAGTTATGTGAAACCTCCATTTAAGATTTCTTTTGTGAGCAGTAGGTTGCTAGACTGAAAGAAATCTTAAATGGAGGTAATATATCACTGAGGCCATTGCTTTGTGATCATTGAGATGAAATGTTAAGTGACCGGAAGTTTTAAATTAATAAATAATAAAGGTGGAGGGCAATTGTACTCTTAAAATATGGACTTACGTATATTTCACCATTTAGAACCTCTGTTCATATTTAGAGTACTGATCTCTCAATTTAAAAATGTTGGTACTTGTCAGTTCATTAAACATTGCAGATCATTATGTTTGAACTATGGGACCAAGATTCATGCTCCTTCTGTTAGCAAAATGATGTCATTCTTCCTAGTGTATTATTGAATTCAGTGGTGTTCATGGTAGTGCTGCATTGTTTCTCAGCATAGTATGGCTGTCGAGCCATAATATAGTTGAACTTCCACAGCACCTTTTGTACTGATCTGAGACAGGTTTCATCTGACACCAACATTTTTTCTATTTCTAAAAAGGTTATGTTTTCTGCAACATTGAAAAATTTGTCAGTTTCTGTCACGGTGAAAAATATATATATTTTTTTTATAAAATTATGCGTTTAATGTAGTACTGTGTTATGATGGGATTATTATGAAATATCAGTTGGTCAAGTTCTGATATAAAGAACTCATTACTTACTTTACCGAACTACTACTTCCGTGGCTGGGTTATAAAACGAACTCCTGAAGTCAATGTTGTTTGTTCCTTTCAGCAAAATAATAATAATATCAATTATAATGGTCATACATGTCTTGTTTGCTGAAAAGCAAAATGTAAGTTAGGACATTTTCTTCATATCAAATGTAATGATTTTACTGTTGTAACTTGGCTGCCACTGCCTAATTTGTTACAGTAGGATGCACCAAGGGAAAGTAAGAATGATAGAATGTATGAATAGGGGCAGCTTTAAAAGATGTACACTGTTCCACCACTACACGGTTTTGGGAACTGAGTCACAAATTTTGTAATGGCATAAGAAGGCTTTTGTTCCTTAATATTTTCTGTTTCTAATAGAAGGCTTATGGAGATATATATTTTAATGAACTTAGGAGTAGCGGTTGTGGTTTTTATTTGCATTTGTGTTTTTATTTCAGTGATTAAGAAATTACTTCTTCTTCAATGTGCACTTTTGAT